TGCCTGTGTTCACAAATAAAATATGATGGGAACACAACTATACCCATTCATCTGTCACCTGTGGCTGACCTAGAGGCCACAACAGAACAGAACACAGACCATACCACCCTCAAAGGTACTGACTACAAGCCCTTTCCAGAAAAAGCTTCCTGACCCCCGCTCTACACTCCAAGGTAGAACGTTCTGTCTCTATGAGTAGTTTTATAAAGCACTTCCAGAGCTGATAGCCAGGTAATGTTTACTTGGCCCCCAGTGTGGGGAAGCTAGAGGTGACACACAGGTGTGTTCTTTTCAAGATTTAATGCCTACAAGCTCAGACTTTTAAATGGATCAATTAAAAGGTAGTTATTTGCATAACAAAGTTTCCTTTTCATTTCGTAAGGGCTTCACCGCAGGGCTCCTTTGTAGATCGGAGTCTCTATAATACATGCTAATACAATTCCACTTACAAATACTCTATTCAGAACAACTTTCCAAGAACCTTCCTATTGTATACAGTGGGACTTAACCCACCTCCCCCACCCCAAGCAGCATAAGGTTTCCTACTTCTGAACAGTAGTTGAGCTGACCTTCGACTGTCTCCAAGAGGGGCTTCACCTGTTTGCACCAAGTCTTATTTGTATAATCCCAGCCATTAGAGGGCTGAGGCAGGAGCATTACTTGAACGTAGGTGTTCCAGGCCAGTTTGAACAACATAGCAATACTTCAGGTGACCTTATCTCAGCATAAGGACAACAGGACAGCATAAAGGCTAGACCTTCCAAGTGTCTGTATCATGAAGCATTCAGGGTATAATTTCGCCCTTAATAGGTGACAGGTACAGACGACTACAGAAAACAAATCAATAAAAACCAATCAATATTTACTGAATTTTTCTAGCTCTTCTTTGCACCCAAACCCCAAAGTTCAAATATGGTAAGTTCTTCACTGTTCCCTTCATATCCTACATAAATAAACTAATAACAGTTACATTTGTGGCTAATGTTCTGATAAATGTGTGGTCAGCAGTATTCATAAAAGCCATCTCCATGTGTGTGTCTCTGTGTGTCTCTCTGTCTCTGTCTCTGTGTGTCTCTGTGTCTCTGTCTCTGTCTCTCTCTCTCACTCTCTCTTCTCTTCTCTCATTGCAAGATATTCTGCTGTCTGAATTACAGCCCAAACTGGGGCACGCATTCAAATTAGAGCTGTCCCCAGCAAAATAGGAAGTGGTCTGGCTGATTCAATTTAGGACCCGGCTTCCTCTTTTGTTGGGTCCTGAGCCTGAGTCTCACTTAGCTATGTGCCGTTATGCAATTGCCCCTTTTAAGAGAGACATAAAATGGAAGCCTTGGCTATTCATAGCCAACTTAGGAGGAGCTGAAATTGTTCGAGAAGTTTCTTGCCTGGTACCATCTTGATGAAAACTAGTTCTTCAAACAAATCTATTTAATGTGGTTTCTAAATGGAGTTATGTTAAAGAATTGCCTTGTGCCTTTTGTTTGCATCTTGTGGTGATGAGGTTTTAAAGGTAGATAAGCATTCCTTGTATGTCACTTGAATATTTTCCAGGGTGATTTTTTTCCCCCTAGTAAAAGCAGCTTACAAGGAAATTCAAGGGCAGAGATGATCAGCCCAGGCTTTCCTGTGTGGTGTCACCCTGCCGGGAGGCTGATCTGTGTCTCAGGGCTGCTAATGGATAGTGCGTGAGCAGGCAGCAAAGGGCCGGCGGGGAGGCAGGCTGGCATTAGAGCCCCACAAATGGCATCGTCTGTAGGGTATGGCTTGGGGGAAGGCTACTGGAGGCGGCTGGCTGCCCCTGGAGGCTGCAGCTTCTCTTGCTGTGTGGCAGGTGGCATTTCAGCCATGTCTAAAGCCAGTCCCTGGCAGGGAACCTGCATTGAATACATCTGTGAGGATGGAGATCTCTGGAAAGGGGTCTCTCTCTTCGTCTCTCCCAGAGGTCAGGAGCACTGAAATTACAGAGAACAGCATGAAGACACTTTTGAATCCAGGCTACATTCTCCCCGCCTCCTTTCCTGACTTCTTCCCTCATTCGTTTAACCATTCCTACCCATTCTTGAAATCTAGTCATCTCTATATAAAAAGAGAAATTTGTTTCCCAGCTGTAAAATGCAGCGGTGACAGGTGCAGACTATTACAGAAAATAAATAAATAAAAACCAATCAATATTTACTGAATAAACTATATTGATAGTTCAATTTCCCTCTTCCCTAGTGGTCCTTGTTAAACTTTTCCAAATCAACACTAATGAATATACAAGAATCAAGACCTAAAGGCCCATGCCTTTCAACAGCCAAACTGAAGGTGACATATTACTGTTCTCTTCTCCACAAGGGACATGGGAGGGCGTGCGGAGCCCTGTGACCCCAACCAAAGCACCCTCCTCCACCACCTTGAATAGTTCCCTCCCATAAAACAGCAGCCAAACAGACTTCATCTCACAAACGGAAATGGGAGTGGATCTCAGGAAGAGAAGGCTTGTTTAATTGGATTTTCAGAGCCAGGATTAATATTACAAGCTGGGGAGCTGTGTGATATGTCTATACCTCTGGCTCTGCCACACTGCCAACCTTCCCTGAGGGAAGACAGAAAAGTGACACTATTCAGTAGCAATTTTACTTCTGTCTGGGCCTTCTCACCCAAGTGATTTACAGCTGTCGGGAGCCAAGCGCTCAGGCTCGGTCTTCCCAAGCTCAAGGTCACACCTAGAGCAGGCTTTTCTCCTCTGTGCTCCATGTGACTTTTAAATACATTTAGCATTTGCCTCCCCTTGTTCTCACCTCACTTATTAAGGTAAATTTGTGTGGAAATGGGATCACGGTTTTCAGGACCGTTCACCCGACACCTGATCTCTTGAGGTGACCAAGTGTCTACTGTGGATACCATGATGGTGACCCACAGGAGTCACGTCCCCCTGCAAACCAGAGGCAAGGCTTTAATTAGGAAAGGTTCCAGAGCGGTAACATAATGGGGTGAATCCATTCAGCAAAAGCATTTAGCCTCAAGGAAGAAGGGCAGAGTATTCCTCCCTGCTCAGTGGGTCAACCAACAGGTTAGTTTGCCTCAGATGGACATATCTTGAAGAAGGTGTACAAAAAGGAATGTATCTGTTTTGCCACTGTGTGGAACTAGGTTATGACTCGGGGGAGAGACAAAGAGTCAACCAACGATGGCATTTTATTTGGCTCCTGGGTGATGCTTCACTGGCTGTCTGCCTTTGGAGATGGGTAATGGTCACCCCACAAATCGTTTTTTGGGGAAACAGAGCAGATGCAAGAAGTCAGCATCCTGAGACCCTCGATTGCACACTGCTTTCACCCTGAGTCGGTCAGCTCTCATCCCCCAAAAGCTCCCTGCTGCACCCTGCCACCTACTGCTACCTTCCTGATCTTGCTGAAAGGGATAGGAGTTCCTGAGGAAACTATCTGCATCCCCAGTTTCCTGATTGCTGAGAGCCCACTAGGTCTGAGGGTTACCTTATTAACTCACCCAAAGGGCTGGAGAATTAGTGAAATTTTGTAAAACCTAAGTGTTGAACCATAACTTTCCAGACGCTACCCTGACAGTAAGCTGTTTTAACAGAGGATCAGAGGATGTGACAGTCCTGCTGATTAAGTGCCACAGTCAGGGAGAACAGTTTACAGGAGATGGCCAACATTGTCTTCTTTTCTGCTCCAGGCTGCCTCAGCTGGGGAGAGATTTATTCCATAAAATTAGGACTGTCATTATTATCTTGATACAGGACGCCATGTAGCCCAGGCTGGCCTCCCAACTCACTATGTAGCTAAGGGTGACCTTGAACTTCTCATCCTCTGGCTTCTACCTCCTGAGCGCTGGGATTACAGGGGCCTGCTGCCATGCTGGTGTGTGTGATGCCAGGTATTGAATTCCTCGTGCATGCTAGACAAGTATTCTATCAATAGGACTACCTCTTCAGCCCATAAAATTATTTTAAAACATAAATACTCTCCAGCTGTATTCCGTGCAATATTCGCAACTATTCTTTAACTCCATTTCACAACTTGATCCACTGAATATTAAGATTCCCATTCTAAAGATGAGGAAACTGAGATTCTCAAAGGCTTAATTACTTGGCTGACATCATACAGCCATTTACACACTCACACAAACATATGTGCATACACACATACATACACATACACATGCACACACACATACCCACACCACTTCTACTCAGTTCTTTCTGTGGCATTCCCAACAGCTCCTTGAATTCGAACTTATTTCATATTTAGTAAAGTATATAGGTAGACACAGTGATCAGGGCACGGGGGGTCACTGTGAGACAGGTTAATTCAATTTAGAACTATCGAAATTGGAATTTCTGAAATGTACTTGGGCTGCATCATAATGTTACAATAAGCTATCGGGCCAACTATGTTTCCCAGCTCAAAAACCAAAATGCTTCCTATTGTCAAACTGGGCAGAAGGATGCTGAGTTCCCCATTGGCCAATACTGTCTAATTCTCTTAAATGATTCAGATGTAGAAGGGAAAATGGCATCTGTCTAATTAACACTGCCTGGTTAAATATAGCTGCAGAGGGACAGCCCCAGGACAGTGTTTACTGAGCAGTCTTTTCTAGCCCCCCTGGGCCTCAAGTTCCAGTTGATAGCAAGCCTTCTGTCCTTATCAGTGACAAACAGAGATGGCCCCAGAAGCAGTGACAGGCCAGGGGCTGGGGTGGGGGTGGGGGTAAGGGAGTTGGAGGGAGAGGGGCTGGGCTGTCATTGGCTATATTTCCTACTTCTGGTATCTACAGAATGATTTTGGGAACCAGGTCTGGAAGGCTGCAGTGGCTCTTGTTGCAAACATGAGCTCTGGCCTTGCTCGGCCTTCTCGACTGCCCGAGCCTAGCTCTCCAGCCTGCAGACATCCACTGGGCCACCCTCCTGCCCACTGCTGAGCCTGCCAGGCTTCGCCATCTGCTCTGCAGCCTGTCCCTGGTGGAAAAGCACAATGACCACATTGTTTCTCTTCCAGCTTCTCGTCAAGACATGGAAGCTATTGCCAAGTTTGATTTCATGGCCTCGGGTGAGGACGAACTGAGCTTTCACACTGGAGATATTCTGAAGGTAGGTAATGTGGTGTCCCCAGGGGAGCAGTGAGGGGCTGAGGTTCCCTGAGCCTGGCCACCAAGGCCACCTAACAACCTATGCCTCTATGGCTGAAAAAGTGTGCAGACTTCTTTTTATTTTTATTTTTTCAAAACCAGATGTGGGCACATGCCCATGATCCTAGCACTCAGGAGGTAGAGGCAGGAGGATCAGGAGTTCCAGGCCAACCTTGGCTACTTAGTGAGTTTGAGGTCAGTCTGGGTTACATGAGACCCTATCTCAAAATAAAATGAGAGGGGGTGGGGGCCAAAGTTTATTAATAGGGTGATATGCTGACCATCCATGTGTAGAAAAATATTGTAGCTTTTAGCCAGTACTAAGCCTTTATCCCATTAGTACTGCCTGGAAGACATACGGAGGAACAGGCCTTTGCCACAGGGAGGACACAAGTGTTCCACCCCTCATCACAATAGCTCCTCAGTTGTGTGTGTGTGTGTGTGTGTTTGCACATGCACGTGTGTACGCAGATGTACATGCATGTGCATATGTGTACACATGTATATGCATGCTCAGGTACATGTGTGCACATGAGTGTAGAGTCCAGAAGTTTATATCAGGTGTCTTCTGTTAGCTCACAGGCTCCTCCCAGGGACCTAGCAACAGCTAATGTCACCTACTGTCATTATCTGCTGGCTACCACTAGGTATGCCAAGTGTCCGCCGTTTATAAAAGGACTGCCCACCACCCCAGCTCAATTTCTGTTCTTGGTATTCTCTCTCCCCCTTTCTCTCCCTATCTGCCCTCCACCCCACCCAGCCCCCCACTCTCATGACCCATTTGCTGCCTCTACTCCTTCCCCGGGGTCTTCACTACAAGCCCCCTTTATATCAGATCTGTTGCACAGCGTAATTACTCAGGGGCACACCTTGGCACGATTGCCACATTATAGTTCATAGCATCTTCCACCTTTGTTTTCCACCTTTAATATTTTGAAGCAGGATCTCTTACTGAACCTGGAGCTCACTGATTTGACTTAGGCAGGCTGACCGGTGAGCTCCAGTGATACCCAGTCTCTACCTCACCTGTGCTGGGATCATAGACATATGCCTCCACACCCAGAGATCTGAATTCAAGACCTTGTGCTTGCGTGGTAGGCTATTTACTGCCTGAACCCTCTCCCAGTCACAGAGGAGCCATCCTTAAAGACGCCATGCTTTGAGCACACCCTAGTGCACTTCCATAAAAAGAGAAGTCCCTCCAAATCGTTTTTTCTGGGCACCTATGTGCTAGGCACTAGGTTGGGTGACAGAAATTCAGAGTTGGCATAAGTCACCCTCCTTCCCGCCTCTGGCATAAAGTGGGCAGCACACGCCTCTCACGGGCCGTCATAGATGTTCTCAGCTCAGTCCTCAGAAGCACAGGTGGGGAACATGGGATCTCACCTTGTAGGGTGGCAAGTCAGGAAACAGCAGACTCAAAGAAATGCAAGGTCAGGCTTCAAATGAAAAAGGTGCAAGTGGAGGTAGCCAGGGAGAGGCAGCAGACCCGAGGGGGCTCAGCGGAGGCCATGAATACCCAGCCACTAAGAGGCTCCTTAAAACTTGTTTCTGGGCCCCGCTTGGGTTGTAGTGGCCACTTGCAGAGCCAAAGTGGCCTTGGACTTCTTCCACATTCCAGGTGTCCATCTACATACTCCAAAAGTTAGCCCTCGTGATTTACAAAGGAATATACAAGCCTGTCCACAGGATATTCAGGAGTATGTGGCACAGTGTACACCTTGTCTGACCTCAGGGCACCCTCCAAGGGCATGCCTCAGCTCTTGTCCTCAGTTGTCCAGGTGGTCCCCTCACAGGTCTGAGTCACCAAGGCCACTGTTGCATCTTGCCACAGAGAATTGTGGGCTATACAAAGGCCCTTGTTGGGGTGTCATCAGAGGGCAACCTGGAAAGTGTCCACAGAGCACATGCACGTAAAGAAGAATTTCATTTGTCATTTAAAACACACACACACACACACACACAGAGAGAGAGAGAGAGAGAGAGAGAGAGAGAGAGAGAGAGAGAGAGAGAGAAAGAGAGGGAGAGAGAAACTTTCTAACTGGTTTCAGCTTGAAAGATCTTATGCTGTGGTTGACCCCATAGTGTCCCAAGTTTGAAGTTTTATAAGGTCAAATAAGTTAGGCTACCAGTTGAGGAAAATGTGGCCTTTGTATCTTTGGATCCTTACTGAGGTCACAGGGACACTTGTCCTGTGATGGTTTAAGTCTCTCCTCCCTCCTCTGTGGGGCACTGTGACCATTCAGATACCAACATACAGAAGCACCTACTGCTCAGCCTAGCTCCCACCCCAATGTTCATCACACACCTAAAGCCTTGCTTAAGCTCCCTGTTATCTTCTGTTATCCAGAAGAGTGAAAGGAAAAACAAGCAAACGAGCATTCCCTCAGCTCTGTTCCCCAGGCTGGCTCCTTATTGGTTTCCTGTCCCTTTTGCTCAAAAGGAAGCAGTTCTCTGTGCTGGGTGCCTTCCTCTTCCCCTCTTGGCTCCATGGCCCTTTGAAGCCTGCCTTTTATTTTGTGTCCTGGTTTGTTTCCTGTTGCCGTGATGAACGTGCCTAAACTTGGAGAGGAGATGATTTTGTTTGATTTACACTTGCGCATCAAAATCCATCACTGAGGGAAGTCAGGACAGAAACTCAAGGCAGGAACTTGGAAGCAGGAACTGAAACAGAGACCATGGAGGAACGCTGCTTGCAGATTCTTGGCTTACTCAGCTACCTTTGTTATACAACCTACCTGCCTAGGGATGGTACTGCCCACAGTGGGCTGGAACCTTCCACATCAATCATTAATCAAGAAAATGTCTCACAGACTTGCCAATGGGCCAGTCTGATTTCAGTTTACAATCCCTCTTCCTAGATGACTCTAGCTTCGGTCAAGTTAACAAAAACTACCCAGCATGTGGTACAACCTCCTTCATGTGACTTGAATGTTCTACCAAGTCAACCTATTTGCCTTCCTGCTCTCTTGGCCTCTCAGATGACTGGCTGACAGCCCCTTGATTGAAGTTGTTGCCTCTTGTCTCTTCCTCCTTCAGTCATTCCACACACTGGTTCCAGAAGGACTTTTCTAGAAGACAAATCAGAGACTCTATTGGCAGTCTCTCTCTAGGGCTTTCCCCTAACTTAAAGGCACTCCTGTCTTGTTCTCTCTCCCCTCTCTTCCCCTCCCTCTCCTCCCCTCCCTCTCCTCCCCTCTCCTCTCTTCTCCTCCCCCTCCTTCTCCTACAGGTCTTGTTCCTGTCCTCTCTCTAATCTGATATATTCATTTCCCCAAAGCTCTGTCCCTAGGCCTTCTGATCTTGGTCTGAACCACCTCACCCTCTTCTCTGACTGTGTGCTACAGATCCCTTACTCTGTATCTTGCTCCCTCACTAACTTCTGCCTTGAACCCCAAAACCAGTTGTCTACTGGATGTTCCCTCCTACCACCAGGCTCACACGACCCCCTAGACCCACCTAACATCCCACCTCCATCCAAGTCACTGCCCTGTCTGTAATCAAAGTACCATCAAAGTTCAGTTGCTACACACCTCTCTTGTCAAATCCTGGTGGTCAGGACTGCCACCAGCTGAGTTTCTATTGCAAGCTAGGGCTGCCACAAGGGATACATGTACTATTGTGGCATCTCTGCAAACGTAGACGGTTGGGAGTACTTCCTCCACTTCATAAATGTGAAAAAGAGGCCAAAGAATTAAACAACCTGTCAAAATCATACAGGTAGACAGTGACTGAGCCAGGGCCTGCATGGAGCTCTCTGTTCCCTATGCACTATCTCTGTTCTAAATGTCCCCTGAGGGAAGAGCTTCTCCATTAGAAAAAAGAAAAAGTTCGAAGCTGGAACATAGGAACACAGGCTTTGTAACCATGTGAATATGGATTCAATTCCCAGCCTATGAGCTATGTAGCCTGAGCTTAGGCACCGGCCGGTGCGAGCACCAGTGTTTGCTTCTGTGAAAGGATGACCTACCCTGCAGAGTCTAGGAAAGGAATTAAAGGCAATGGCTTTGGTCCAAAACAGATACTGAGCAAGCAGTGGCCATATTATCACGAGTACATGCCTTCCTGCTCTCCTGGACTCTCAGGTAACTGGCCAATGGTCATCTGAAGTCCTTGTCTCTTGTCTCTTCCTCCTCAATCTATCTACACACTGCTGCCAGAAGGACTCTTCCCAAAGACAAAGAAGATCAGATCATTTCCTTCCTCAAAAGCACTCCGTGGTTCCCATTACCAACTTGTTGAAATCTAACCCACTATCCAGTCTCATCACCCCCTCAGGCAGGCCCATGTGTGCACACATACACACAGCACACAGCTCTGAGGACACTGTCCCTGCCTCCTCCCATGGTATACATCATCCTATCTCAGCCCTACCCTACCCCTTTCTCCAAGTGTCCTTTTGAATTTGACCATCTTTCCAGAGACCCCTTTCCTGATCCTCTCCCTTCCTTGCTACCCCTGTCCCAAGCAAAACTAACCCCTCTTTGTATCTGTTTCCCAGCACCTCACGTACTTACAATATTGCCTCAGATGAGATGGACTTCCAGGATCATCTCTCACTACCACAATTCCCTACCGCACGTGATCTTTTTTATAATAATTATATATATATATATATATATATATATATATATATATATATATATATATATGACACACCAGAAGAGGGCATCTGATCCCATTACAGATGGTCGTGAGCCACAATGTGGTTGCTGAAAATTGAACTCAGGACTTCTGGTAGAGCACTCAGTGCTCTTAACCACTGAGCCATCTCTCCAGCCCCCACTGCATATGATCTTTATTGCCCCTTTACCTGTTGGCTACCCCACTGCAAAGTTTTGTAGGGATGAGGGTTTCACATACTTCAGCATCTCTAGGAGCAGAAAGTTGCTTCTCATCAATGTTAGGTGAATGAATGAATGAATGAATGAATGAGAAACTCCCTAAGGGCAGAGAGACTCC